CCAGAAAACCGGGTCTTAAAAAGTCATCGGCCGATATCCTTTTAAGCTTTTTACCTACTCGAGACCCCCTATCGAATGATGTATGAACGAATGAAATCGGAGCGGGACACCTGGGAATGTTTCCTCGTTAGCATGTAATAAAAACTACTTAGCATTTAAATGGGAACCTAAATAAAATTTAAAAGTCATATGGGAAACTACGCTGGCTTGCTAAAGGAGACGCAGTATCGGTTAAACTACAACGAATGTGCTTCTTTTCGTATTCTTTCCCTTTCTTTGCTGGTCTTTTCGCGATCTATCCGCTTCTCCCAACGACCTTAACGGAACTATTAAATCGAAAATTTCGAGTTGGCATGCGTTTAATCTACAACTGTCCGGCGGTTGACGCTAAGGAACTGTTTGAGATATGCAATGAAAAGAAACTGGAGGAATATGTGAACAGTTACATAAAAAGCATGCATGAGTCGGTACTAATTGTCTGGATAAACTTTGTTGAAGAGAGAGAGAATCAGAGGTAAGCGTTTTTATATTCATTCTTTTTCTCTAGATCACAGTGCACATTGCGGAAAAAAGATGAGTAAAAAAAAACTAGAGACCAATTGTGTTGCGCATAAGTTGCGATGTCTGCAGACTCTGCCTCTGCTGACAGCTGCCAAAAGTTATCAATTCAGTCAGTAGATTTTCACTGCACCGTTTCGCTGTGATTTTCTATTTCAGCAACTTTGAAAGACATAATTAGAGAAAATAACAGAACAGAGAACGAAATATAAAGAACAGAGAACGAAATATAAAGAACAGAGAAACAGAAATGAGAGAGAATTATTTTTCTTCTCAAGAATAAATGGCACCGAACAACTGATGCTAATGAACTAAAAAAACTTCCGAGTCCGAAACACATCTTTATCTATGTTATACCATCGTTGACAATATTAGCTGCACATTCATGGATCGGCTTCTATATTAACGCTGGACAGTCATCTCGAAGATCTTATTATCGTAGTGAAAGTGTACAAATAACTTCTACAATCGGAAGAAAAACGTATGGACGCTCATTAGCATCAGCTTCAACGACCATCGGCTCAACACTTTTCAATCAAAAAAATTATTCAACAGTACCACTTCGTTTTGTGACATCGAATTCCGAACGTATTCGAACAAAACAACATCGAAAATTATTGCGTATGTTAATAATAATGATATTATTATTCTCATTATCTTGGTTACCTTATCATATTCTCAGTCTTATTATGGAATGTCAATCATTGTCAGAAAAGACAACAT